ACATTATGACTATTTTCGGTTCTGAATTGCCTGTTGTCGCCATCTACTACCTGGAACCATCGTCATTTGCGGGCGCGACGTCGCACGCGACGTTCATCAGCGCAGTGAATTACGATTCTCCTGTCACATACCCCCTCATGACAACCGTGCATCGCAATTTAACAACGTAACAACGTCTCGATAAGGCAAGGGCGCTTTCTTCCCTCCCATCTGACCCACCCTTCGCCTCGTTCTCTTAACAGACCTATACCCAATTCTGTTCTTAAAAATGTGTGACAAAGAGCTACTCAAAAAAAACGTGAGACGAGCAATGTTCTGAAACAGAGGACCACCACATTTTCACACATGGCTGACATTTTCTTGATGTATCCGAGAAATGAGATCTCATCTACGGAAAGGACTCCAGATTTCAAGAAATTCTGGACTGTGCCTTCAAATCGTACAACGCCCAAGTGGCGGTGTACCCAGTCTCAGAAATTTGATTAGCAGTACGATTCTCACTACACCACATCTTCCTAACGAACAAAAGGACAAAGGTAATACGTGCGTGGGTGCAGACAGGAGGGAAGTACGCCACGCACCTGGGTGTGTACGAGTGGAATCACGATCCAATCGTACAGAAAAAGTCGCGCGAAACGACGCCGGAAAGTATCTAACTGGGTGAGCAGTATTTGCAGCGACGACATGAAATATGTATAGCATTAATAGTGGGTCAAATAGAGTGCCACAAACCTGGGTGTAAACCAGTGGAATGGCGATCCAAGTCATAAATGAACAACTGGAAGAAACCATTTCGATACTTTTCAAGAGCATCCAGTAGCACACGTAGTTCGTTTGTATGACCCAAAGTTCCTTTCTCAAAGCAGCGGACCATCATCGTTTGAATCCAATTGATCGGCACAAACCATTTCTGTAAAGCGGTACAACTACTTGAGTTGTAAGAATGAAACGTTAAACGTACCTCATAAAATCCAACGAATACATGATATGTAGTTAATTACCATCCAAATTAGGGTTTTTGGGACTGTTGGCAGTTCGAAGTCAATTGGAAGAGTTTGAATGCTAGGTTCTACCGGAGAAATGAAGCTCTTTAACAGCCGGTCGTTAACTCTCGACCGCCCCACACAAATCACCTTGTCGATGATCATCACAGCTTCAGCGTTACGGTAGACAGAGGCCTCCCGTGACGACTCCTCTTGCATAGATGCGCATCGACTGCATGACGGTTACTGTGCAGCTTTGGCGATTCTATACGCCCACCGTCTCCGGTGCGGGTTAGAAAATTCACGTTGGTGCGGCGTGAACAAACTAGCTTGCTATCAAGAATGCAGAGTCATGACCGAAAGTCAGACCATGGGTGGCACCTGAACCCGCACCTGTGGCCTTACGCGAGAGGTTCGCTATCCATTTCCATTACCCTCCTCCCTCCAGACGCGGCTCTCCTCTCTCACTTCCACCTCTCACTAAAGTGGTGCAGCTCGTTGCTTTTTGCACACCCTTCAAAGATCGATTCTGCTCTTGGCAGACCTTTCGTCTTTGAGTCACCGCCGACTATTCTCACGCGCCAATTCAGTCAAAAGTTTAAGTACCTAAGGCTTTGGCACAAAAGCCAGCTGAGAGGACGAAACAGCCCTGATGGCGCAACGGGTAGCGCGTTCGCCCCGTAAACGCGAGTGTGGGTTAAGTCCATCATGAGTCTGACCTTTTCCTCCACTAAGTCAGCATTTCTTTCTGGTAACCGCTGTATTAAACAGCAGTTATCATAAAAAAATAGTTGGTATGATGTTTTTACTCTCTCTCTTGACGAGGTTATTATAAACTAGTGAAAGATAGTTATGGTTTTTTCAAGTTGTTCGGATCTAACTGGCGATATAACCGTAGAGAGATTAGTAGTCCGAGCTTTCTGTTATAAGATCTTATCCTAGAAAACGTTTCAACACCGTTTATGAAGATAAACTTAGAGCAGTTGCGCCTTTGAATCCATTTTTTTTTTTTTTTTCAAATTACAAAAAGAAATATCAAATCAAACAGCCCGTGAAAGATGTCGCAATCGTAGAGTCCTCGATTGCTCAGTGAACCCCTCTCAATGTCAATCAATGTTTCCTCATGGTTGAAAGGACAAGTGTAGCACCATCTTTGCAGCACCATTAGATCTCGTGCAAATGTCGCTAAGTGACATCATCTATGGCAATGTCGCTAGGCAGTAATAATGGACCACCTGCTCGTCTACCCCTCACAGTTAACTTTGCCTTCATTTATGAGTAATACACCCCGAAACAGAAGCGACGGCTACTGAAACGATTAATTTTGAGCAGCCATTATGAAGCCCCCCTTTGTTTATTAGAAATATTGGTGCAGAACAATCGAAGCTAATTAGTAGGTTTTATCGCACGCAACAACTCATTGCTGGAGCATCAAAAAGGTCGCGCTGGAGCCATTCATTTCATTCATCCCGTTGCTGCACCCTGTTTTTAGGTAGCTGAAAACATAGTTCTTACCTGATGGGGATCGACACGCACGTGAATAGTCTTGAACAACGCCAACTCTTCTTTATTTATCAAACCCGAGTCAAGGAGATGTTCATCTGTTGGATACCTGAAATACATGACAGAACTGACTAGGGATGGTCGCCAGCGCCAGTCTTCCGTGAGCTACGCCTCATTACAAATGCGACTTTCGACCTGGCGACCTCCCACAGTGAGTCAGATTTTAGGCATCGCAATATAATCAAGTTCGAAGCCTGGCGCCATTTCGTTTCCTAAACAATTTGCGTAATCAGCTGTCACTTCGTACTTACAAAAGCTTCCCAGTCGGTCCTGCTGTCAGTGATTTTGGCCACTCCTTGTCATTCTAGTATCAAGTGTGTCATTGTGAGTCTGATATCAACTATACAATCCCATTCGAAGGGTTCTATGGTATCCTAAGTACAAACCAAAACACATGGAAGCCACTCGGCAATCCTTGAATCTGCTTACACTAGGCCAGTTGGCAACGAATATTTGGTGCTCGTTCTATAAAATGCTAAGTAAGGAGAGGGCGCTATGTAGTGGGGAAATGGAAAGAATGGAGTGAAACGGTCAAAATCTTGCGAAGAAAGAGCCTCCGTTATAAAATGTTCAAAATCAATTTTGGACGAGTTTCCCGTAGGCATCCTGTCAATAACCGCCACCGATGGTACGGCTATGAGTACTCATATATCCATGCAGCATCACGGCCGCTTCATACCAATCCCTTTCGCTTCCATAATTTGCTTAGCAAATGAATCGATTAGAGCGTCAGAACGGTCCGCATTTATGGCGGGCGTGGCGGACGTTTGGGTCGTAATGTTGTGGCTGTATAGGGCCCTTATAAGGTCACCTTCCTTGGAAAAGGCATTATGCAGCGCCTGCTCAGGGTCGCGGATTCCTTCCTGCCAGGCGTATTAATCCTACTCGTCTTGGGGATTATCGTGCGCAACTAGACAAGCCGTACACTCTCACTAATTCACTCGCCTCGGCGAGCGGACAAACGTCCTCGATCGCGAGACGCAACCGTAGTCTGCAAGCTTGTATAAGATAGCTTGCTTGTATTTTTTCCATGCGCAATGTGCATCGCGAACGCAGTTAGGTAGTGGTACCGCTTAAGTACTATCTCATATTCCCCCCGTCGCTATTACTCAAGGTGGAGTACTTTCGTTGATACCGAGGTTGCGCAGCGTAAACACACTCAGCGGTAGAGAACAAGGTCAGAGGAGCAGATAAGTAGCGCTTTTGACAATAGCTAGGCACCTGCGGCAGCGCGGGTGGAGTCTGGAGACGGACCTGGATAATCATTCAGCTTCCTGCCTTTTCTATCCGCATTTTGACGCGAAAAAAAAGAGACGTCTAGTGCAGCCACGACGCCACAGTCCCCTCACAAGTCAAGCGCAGACTCACGAAGCTGCAATACAGCATCGCGCTAAGAACAGGAAGATACACAATCGCGCCTAGAACAGGGCCCTTGCGGGCACAGTGACTAGACTTAATGCAAAGCCAGCAGCCATCTGCCCCCCTCCTCAGCGCAGTGATTTGTTGTACCGTCCATTACCTCCTATCAGCTAACGCAACGTTGGGGGATGAATGGCCTATCTAAATTAACTTGGAGAGGATTCCATCTGGGACTTTGTCCACGGTGGTAAATGGCGCAACTATCATACCATGATAAGTAAGCAGAAGAATACCTCGCAAGAACCCGTAACGATATGCTTCGCCATGCCAGTACCGATGACAAAATGGCGTATCGGGCTATCGTCCTTCGAATAATACGCGTTTCTGGCTAAAATTTAAACATCGTCATAACAGGTAGTCGAATTGATATTTCCTACGAAAAAATAGTGTGGCTTCCTGGGACATGATGGGGCGTGTCAGCGTGGCCGCATTTGGCGCGAGGGCGTGGAGGTTGGATTTGACAGTGGGCCAAACGCTACCGCGTGGACTCGCCCCATGATCCACAGCGAACCAAGCTATAGATGCCGAAAAAACTCACATCATTTCCTCGTATCAATGCTGAGACGTTGTAGAGGAGATGATCAGGCCAGCTAATCAACTGGCAGCAATTCGCCACCACCCTGCAATAAGTCTTGGATAGGCCAAAAGTACTTAATTTTTGAGAATATAGACACTGGCCGGTGATACAGGAAAATACTTTCTATTTTTCGAGTAACTAACCTTCGAATAATCATAGCCACATAGAAACCTAGAAGAAACGTTAACGGGGATCTCTTTCGTCCAACTGTCAAACAATATTACGTATTTAACGAACATCTCTTGCTGCTTTTGTGTCATTATAAACCTGAAAAAAATAGTTGCATCCACCTCTAAAATTGCCTGGACACAGGAGAATGTCAGCAGAGACTCAAGACGAAGTGCCAGAAATTCTCAGATGTTTGCCTTCCGCAATTTGTACCTCGTCATCCGGGCAGTTGATTAGGGCGGTCGTCAACGGGCCGCAGCGCGTGCCAGGAACTATTTGCTTTTCCAGGCTAATTTAGTCATTTTTTTCCAACTTTTCACTGTTTGGCTCCCTTTTCCTAAGATTTGCCAGGGCTCTTTCATCTCACAAGGTGGAAAAAAAATGACTAAATTAGCCTGGAAAAAGCAAATAGTTCCTGGCACGCGCTGCGGCCGTTGACGACCGCCCTAATCAACTGCTCCGGATACGAGGTAAGGCAATGGTCAGCGTTGGTCCCTTAACTTTAATCTCAGGTAATACAGCTGTAGTTTTCCATAACTACTAGGCCTAAAGAAACGCCGACCCTTTCCCCTTCGTTACCTATTGTAAATGACGGCGTCGTCACGTCATGCGGAAGGGAAAGGGGGGAGGCAGGGGGGGGACTTTGCCTCTTGCTGAGCTTTCTTTGCAGTTCCTGAGACACGACTCGTTTGGGTCAGACCTGTGAACTCCCGTCAACCCTAGTGCACAGCTTTACAGAAATTTACAGGTCTTTAAAGGACATACCGGCAGCGATCGATGGGACTAGTGAAATGCTCCCACCGAGCCAAACTGCCCCGCAAATCTCTTCCATTTTCCGCATGAGCTTAATTTTGCGATTTCGTTATTGATAGCACGGCCCTAATCATCATACCTCATCTTATGCCGATTGACCAATCACAATTCGGTAACACGAGCCAATCACGGTTCCTAGGGATGTGGGCGAACATCCTCTGCACTAGATTGCCCAATCATAGCTCGATTAGGCTGACCATTGAGTCGAACCTTCTCCCCTTGCTTCATAATCCTTGCAAACGACAGAGTGTGTGCCGAGGCTCGATTGGAGAGCTGTGAAGGGGACCTTTCCTTCGATGGTGCCATCCTTTGTCCACAACAATTGGTGGAAAGGGCTGTTCTGGCTACGATCCAATTTACGCCTCTTTACACGCCCTATCATTTGTAGGGAAGATGACTGTAGCATGTGACTGATGAATGAGTCAAAACTCTTACCGATAAACTCCATTGATGGCATAGTAAAGAAATAGAAATACGAGTAAATGTCGCCATATCGCTTTCCATAGTGAACCTTTCCACCGAAACAACAGTCTTACGAATGTGTCCGAATAGCTGATCGTCATTGTCGCCGATATTGTGCACCAGTTTTTTTCACTAGCAACTACAATCGTGTGACGACGACACCCGCTGTCCGGGTACGGACAATGTGCGAGAGCCTAGAAAGCACAGAGCATAATGATGCAGCAAAGAGTTAAAGGCACAGTTCACGATAATCGTAAGGATGGAGACATGGGCGGAGCAATCAAGAATTTCTCTCTTGTTGATTGTGCGCCCCTCGGTTCCTCTAACAAGGGAACCCCAACAGGTCGACCCGGCCGTTTGCAATGAGATGTACACATGTGGACGTGTCTTGAGCCGCTGAATCCAAATCTACCCTCCGTTTTTGCGGAACGATTCTCTGAACGGAGTTATGGGGCTTTTTCCACCGCATTTACCACGCAACAGGTCGTGGGATCGAATCCCTGCTGGGCTTAACTTTTTTGCTTCCTGCGCAAACGTGGCAAAATGTGGTTTTGCTTTCACTACTACTTCAGTGCTCACCTAATCTTGCCTGAAGAAAACTTTGCGTCCATTTATGAATGCGCCTAGGCACCTTGTAGAAGCCTTGTAGTGCAGGAAAATATTGGGGTGTACAGGTGCCCGTCGTGCGCGATACAGGCGTTTTCACGCTCAGCGAGTGCCATATTCGTGTTCAGCGGGTCAAAATACCTTTATACACAAGTTGCTAGCCAAATCTGGCATTTTGACCTGATTTCCATAATTGAACCATCCATGGGTTAGTTCAGCTGATGTTCACACCTATTCAGCTGCAGATACATTTGCCTGCACAACGCCTTGTCTTGCACCTTCTTACGCATTCATTTTGTTACTGCTCCAGTTTTCCTGGTATATAGAAGAAAATTCCGGCCAAAGACAGGCAATCGACAAGAGACTGGCCCTGGAACTAGTGGTGACCACCATCGGATCAACTGCTACCGGACTTTTGAAGATAGGTCAAGACCTCATATCTGGCTAGAAACCTGTCCCCAAGGGTAATTTTGCTCCCTGAACACGAATATGGCACCCATTTGACGTTTGAATGCATTCTAGACTTAAAAGAGACATTCCCCACAGAATTTAAATGCAACTCCGTTCAGAGAATCGTTCTGCAAATTTCGAAGGCAGATTCGAGATCAGCGTCCAAAACCACGTCTAGTGAACTATATTTCATTACGAATGGCCACTTGGACCTGACGACCTTCCCTAGTAGTAGTGGCGACCTTCTCCATTCCTCGATGCGAGCTCTAGAAACGGTCATTCTCATTGGAGTTCTCATTCAAGTTTTCAGAAGGTGTAACAGATGGAGCAATGATCGCTTCTATTGTCAAATAATCAGAGATTCAGGTCAACTGGCCAAACAGAAGTGTTCTGGGGACTCGTATGGAATGTTCTGAACAAAAGCAAAAATGTTCGGAGTGTCAAGGATTCCAACATGCGACATCGTGTTCCTGAATCAGTGCACTTATCCACTAGGCCATCGGCGACCTGCCGTGAGCAACCATCCCTCTCAACTTATACAACGAGCAAAGATTTGATGGTCCGTAACTCCGTTCAGAGAATCGTTCCGCAAAAACGGAGAGTAGATTTGGATTCAGCGGCTCGAGATACGTCCATATACCTACTTCTCATTGCAAATGGCCGGGTCGACCTGTTGGGGTTCCCTTGTAGGCGGAGGAAAAAGGGCAGCACAAGGAGTGAGAAGTAAAGATGTAACGACGGCGGTGATTGGTTGATTTTCTCCATTCACACAAAAGGCGTGGGCTGCGCTTCTAAGCAGCGAAAATTGAAAATGTGCTGAGGAAAAACTCCAGGAAAATAAAGATAAAAGAAGGAGTAATGGAATAGGAATGAGACAGAAAATTACAAGAGTTATGATGAAAGAAAGCATCGACATCATGGGACTCATAGTATGCTAAAAATACGGATAGAAGCAGATTAATACTGTGGGGATGGGTGGGGCGTCTCGGTACGACCTCCTCTCATGTCCACCTACCATTTTACCAAATTTTCCAATTTTGCCGTCCAGTGGAGGGGCGGATGAGGAGTTGGACAAATAAGATCATCTAACAAATAATCGGTTTTGCTATACCATCAACTCAAAGAGGAGGGAGAGGTAGGGCGATGTTAGTATCGTGCGCTTTACCGATCAGAAAGTTAAAGTTTTACCAATCAGAAAAATTTGATTACGACCCCTAACCCAGCAACCAAATACAACCTCCACCAGAGTACTGTGCGTAGGGAAAGATTGGGAAAACGTGCCAGTCTACAGACTTTCCACCGGGAATCCAAAATTCACCCCGCAAGACGCATAAAGAATTGCTCGTTAAGGATGCCTGGGCGTGTCAGGGGCTGACTTTGGTGCCCATGGCGTATCAGGGGGCTGGGCTTGGCACATCCGCGCCTGTATGTTATGCGGCTGAAAGCTCAAGAGTCTGAAACTCCTGGGATTCAGCGTTATCCAGAGAAATAAAGTCTGAAAAACTTCTGGAGTCCAGCATTATCCAGATGCATAAAGTCGACTGTTACGGTAAAGGATATAAATTCAGATGCTGACAAATTGGAAACCAAGCAAAGTATAAGTC